AAGACCACAGCCTTTGGTACGGATTACACCTCGACATAAAGAAGACAAAAATCCTCACAACTTGACCAATAAGCAACACCATGATAAATGGAGAAAATACTGAAGTCGTCAAGGATTTCATTTTACTTGGATCCACAATCAACACCCATGGAAGCAGCAGTCAAGAAATCCAGTGGCACACTGCATTGGGCAAATCTGCTGCAAAAGATCTCTTTAAAGTATTAAAAAGGAAAGATGTCACTTTAAGGACTAAGGTGCACTTGATCCAAGCCATGGTGTTTTCAATCGCCTCATATGCATGTGAAAGCTGGAAAATGACTAAGAAAGACAGAAGAATTGATACCTTTGAATTATGGTGTTGGCAAAGAGTACTGAATATACCATGGACTGCCAGAAGAATGAACAAATCTGTCTTGGAAGAAGTACAGCCAGAATGCTTGTTAGATGGTGAGGCTTCGTCCTACATACTTCGGACACGTTATCAGGAGGGACCAGTCCCTGGAGAAGGACATTATGCTTGGCAGAGTAGAGGGTCAGGAAAAAAGAGGAAGACCCTCAACAGGATGGACTGATACAGTGGCTGCAACAATGGGCTCAAGTATTAAAATTCTGAGGATGGCACAGGACCGGGCAGTGTTTCATTACTTTGTACATAGGGCTGCTATGAGTTGGAACCAACTCAATGGCATCTAACAACAACACTATAACTGAGTTGACTTGATGGCAACTAACAACAACTATATAACCACCCTTGCAGTACTAAAACGTTCTTCATAAAATCTGGCATGCTTTCAGAACGATGTTGGTGGTTGGAGTGGGCAGCTTGTTTGCACCTTAAGTGGCTTCTTGCTGCTTCTGGCTGTGGAATAATAAGGAAAAAGAAGCAAGACCAAGGACCAGGAGCAAGGCCAGTGTTCAGAGCTACATGGACAGTCAGGAGCCCCTAAGAAGGGCTAGGGCCTTGGAATATGGGCATGTTTTAAGTATGCCTTCAGCTGGAATCGACTCGATGGTACTAGGTTTGGTTTTTGGTTTTCTGTGATGCAACTGCCTTAAACTATCCTCAACATTTAGTGAAGTTTGTTAAACACGGCAGCTGAGAAGTTTTTACTGTTGTAAATGCAAAATGTCAGATAAACAGATATCGGTAAGTGAGGAGAAGGTGTACACTGAAAGCCTACTGAGGTCAAATAATTTGCGCAAAGTCATGCAGTCAGCAAGAAATGGAGCTGGGCCCAGAACTCTCTTACTCCAACCCTTTTAAAGAATAAAATTCAGTGGCTGGTAAGCAACTTTAGAAAAAGATTCTCTCTGCCTCAGAATCACTTTACTAGTGCTACTAAAAAGGTGGCATAAATAAGACCAATATGCTTCACCTGCTTCACATACTGATCTTTCACGAGAGAAGCCATGGTTGGTGCTAAGGTCATGAAGCACTGAACTACGTTCTTACAGAACAGACTTACATAACTGACTTCAGAGTCCTGAGAGTTACCAAGCACAGAAACAACAGGTGGTGACAAAGGAAATGATGGAGAATACTCATAAAGACAGATAGTTGTCCCTCAGTAATCATGCTGCTTTGTCCCTTAAAATAGGATACACAGTCATTTAGAATAAAGGTGGGCCCCCAGCCATTTAGAATAAAGGCTACATTTTCCAGTCCACCTCCCAGCAAGGTGTGCCTTGTGCTGAGTTCTGTCCAATGGGATGTAATCAGTGGTTGCTAGGAAATGTTTAACAACTGGGTCTGAGTGGACAGGGGTTAGGCGAGCCTGGTTTGTAGTGTTTGCCAATTTCCATGGTATACATACTCCCACCATGGCTATTTCAAGCTACCACATTGACGGCATTGAACACAGCTGGGAAGAGCTGCAGCTCTCACAAGTTGGTACAAACTGACTCAAACACATAACTAGATGTAATGCATGTACTGTAGTGTGATTTCTGGGAACGTCCTTAAAGAAGGAGGCAAGTCTTAAGTGGTGGGGGCTCTTCTCCCCTTCCTCCTCCCTGCTGGCAGAAAAGTAGATGTGACTGTTGGAACTCAAGCAAGCATGAAGGACCATAAGGAGGAAGCCACGTAATGAGGAACGGCAGAGTTGCAACAAAGAAGCAGCCTTGGTACCTATGATCACAGCACCATTGTGCCAGCCCGGGGATGTTCTCCTGTAGACTTCATTTACGGGATGTCTATGCAAAAGAGGAAAACTTCTGTCTTGTAAAAGCAACTAATATTTTGAGTTTTCCCACTCACAGTGGAATACATCCCAACTGATGGTAACACTCATGCCAAACAAGATATCTGAACAAAACTAGGACTTATATCTGGCAGAACCTTAAAGGATTCAGATTTGAAGCAAGAGAAAATGCCTGAACCTTTCTGGAAAGGACAAAGAGGACCGAAGGAGGACAAAAGGTAGGGAGAAAGTGAATGCCCAGCTGCTGTATCCAAAAATACATCAATTATCTTCCAGAATACAGGTAAGGAAAGAATAAGCAGAGAACAAGGCCAGCAGCCAGGTAAACATCAGTGAAGAGAGCAGCAAAAGGGAGAAAGGGACTTGAAGGGTTGGGTTGACCTCGCTCTATTACAGCCCCTCCCTTCTGACCTCAAGGCCCATGACAAAGTAGGCAGCCTAGATCAACAAGGCTTCCTGCTTGTACATGAAGGGCAGCTCCCAAATCCACGACCAGGGGCTTAGGGAGGACTGTCCTACCAAGGGTAGTCCAAACACTCTACCTGAGAAAGAAGGATCATTTTCTGACTTTGTCTTCCAGTGCATTTTTCTCAGGCCAAGAGAAAAAATGGGAGATGCATAAGATCACTTGGAAGAAAAACTGAGTTGACTTGGGCAGCAATAAGGCAGTTTGGTATATTCTGTCTTTCTGAAGTTTATTTCAAATGTATCACTCAGGCATAGGCTGGCCTCCTATTTTCTTTGTGTTGTACAGTGGATACCCAACAAATATAGAAAAACTTAACTCAGAATATAAAGTTATACTTTCCACAAGAACCCCTCCCAAAACTTGAGTGCTATTCAAATAGAAGATAATAGTGACATAAGTATATATAAGCATACCAGAAAACCAAACCCATTGCTGTCAAGTGGATTCCCACTCATAACAACCCTAAAAGACAGAACAGAACCGCCCCATAGGGTTTCTAAGGAGCTGCTGGTGGATTTGAACCACTGACCTTTTGGTTAGCAGCCAATCTCTTAACAATTGCGCTACCAGGGCTTAAGTATATATAAAAATATATAAGTATATATTCTTAACTAATACCCTTCTGAAGTATCTAGGCAACAGGTTTGAAATTCAGCAATGCTTACTGGGCATCTGTGATGTTATTAAACTTATACATCACGGTGCTCACTTTGTGGGGATCCTACAAAGAAAATTTCGTTCACTGTATAGCTATAGGGTCTCTGATTTATATTTACTCTACATCAGTCTCTTGTTACATTAAGATTAAAGGACTCCTGTGTGGTCAGCATGATTTTCAATCCTTCCTCACCAACCACCCTCACCCCTCCTCCAATACAGATGATGCTAAGAAACTGACCTAGATTGATGGTGGGTGATCGGGGCACTCTCAGTGGCAAAGGAGGAAGGGTAGGGAACAGCAAGTCCAAGTCAGATGAAGAAAGGAAACAGCCTGGCCAAGGCACGTACAGATGGATGAACACCTATGAGCAAGGGTTATGGAAGCAACTAAAGCACAGACTAGTTCTACGATAAAAGCTAGGCAAGAAAGGAACTTCTAGTTAAATATGTTTAATGGTCCCAACAGTAGCTCACATTTACAGGGTCAAGAATCTTTACAAATATTTGCGGATACCTGCTGCAAATATCAGCTGTAAGAAACTGCAGATGTTTGCCCAGCCTGGGTTTCTCCATTTACAAGATCGAGATCACTGAGCATACCTTGCAAAGTGGTTGTAAAAATTAGAACTGATGTAAAACACATCTGTTCAATGTCTGCACACAACAATACTCTGTAAATGAGAGCTCTATCAATGCTTCAGTTATAAAAAATATATGGTCGCTGTTGACACATGATCAGAATAGAAATTGATTAGATGGATGGCATAGTTCTAAATTATAACAATGAATCAGCATACCATTACAGAGTTTGTACTTCAATAATCTGGGTTTCAGACAGAAAGAACAAGATAGATTCAGATAAAATCTAACAGTTTTCTGGTGGCTGTGTTCTGTAAACTCCATCTCCACTTCCTCATCTCTGTCCACTACCGCTACCCTCTGTACCCACCACACAGCACCTCTGTTCTGCTGGCCAAGAGGGGAAATTTTGCTATTTTCTTTTTTCATGGAGACTTGACATGTGTGGACTACCCATATCATCCCATTGGACTGCTGGCCAAATTCTAAAGGGTAGCTTAAAACTTTGTGAAATAAAGACCCAAGAAGTCTACGTTTGACAGTTCAATTCCTAAGGGGTTAACTCAACACCAAAAGGTTCTAAAGACTAAATTACCTTTGTAGTCAAAAAATTTATATCGAAGCAAGCTGTTGCTTCCCTCACATCTAAAATAACATGGAAAGAGCTGCCTCTGAAGTGCAATATTCAACCTCCTTAACAAGTGAAGCAGAAAGGTTCCTCAAGAGTAGTTTAGAGGTATGGGAAAGCCCTTGCAGAGAGGCTGTGCACTAATTAATGGAGGGGGGCGGGGATTAATCTGCAAATGACAACAGACAACAACTTAGAAAAGATGAATATAAGTTAGAAATGTGCTAACCTGGGACCGGCTTTGCTCATTATCAAGACTTCGCAAACTTTTGAGCCAATTATACAACTTCTACGTTAATTTCTGAGTTCATTTATTTCAAATGTTATAGAAATAACACTACAAGTTTTAGTTATACACAAATGCTATGAGATTTTCCTGGGTAAATACATTTTACATTTCCTGGGGGGCATATTTTGAACCATGTTAGCTAAAAGTCAGACAGAAGCAAGGAAATAAACTCACTTGTCAAACTCATCAAACAGATCACAACTCTGCAGTTTTGAAAGAGCAACTCGAAAATATTCCGCTAGAAGAAAAATGGAGCATTATGAATAAAACGATAACCATGGCTTCTCAGGCACATAGCAAGCCATCTTGCCCTCCTCCCCCACCCCCATTTCCAACTGGTATGGCCACATTTAATATACTCTGTGGTGAAAAAGTAATTAACTGTACAACTACAATTAGCCAGCACGACTGAATAGGTACACTCAAAATGGTACACGCTCTAAGGAAACTTTCCAAAAACCCCAGGGAAATGAGATGCTTAATCTGAAAATGATCATTAAAAAAGCAAGCCCAAAATTAGCTATATCAGATGATTCTGAAGCTGACATGTTGGTACAGAAATCAATATCTCATGAGCTTAAACTTCCTAAACTATCAAATTTTCTGTCAAATATTTTCAAAATTAAGAAAAAATATTAATCGAATAAACAAATTATAACTCAGAATATCATAGGCCTGCCACCTCTTGGGCTTTTGAGGTCTATCGAAAATTGAGACAGGAAAGCAGCATAAGGCCAATCTGATATAAACCAGCAGAGAGAAAAGTGTTTTGTCATTAGTAGATGGAGTCATTCTCTCTGAATTTAGCAAAAATAAAATATGCACTGTTTGAATTAAGACTGATCAAGGATCTAGAACTTGCTGATGAAATAAACTTAACAAGTATAAAAGTGAAATGGGGAGATGATAGAGAGGAAATTAACCCAGAGGGTTATTCTGTTAATTCTAAATCAGAAAAAAAGTAAGGCATGAAAGCTCATGTAAATCATATAGTGGCAGAGCAAAAGTAAAAAGCAGTTTCTCAACAAAAAAATCTACCGTTTTTATTCTTTTATTTCACACTGCCTCAAAAGGAGTGGAGATTTACTTTTGTATATGTGTGAAAATAGACATAACAAAACATACAGCCATTCACCATCTTCTACATGTGCAGTTCGATGACATTGCTGTTACCATTCTCCCTATCTCTACCCATACTGTTTCACCACCATTTACTTAGACTCTCTGCCCCCTAAACTTCTCTGTGTTTTAGAGTTACTGTTGTCAATTTGATTTCATGTAGATAATTCTTTAAAAGAATACACTGCTTGAGATGAACATTCTTTACTAGTTGAAGGAAACTGTTGTTTAAAGATGACTTCATGGGATAGTTTCAGTTCAAGGCTTAAAGGTTATCTCAAGGTAATAGGTTTCAGGATTCCCCCAGACCCAATGGGTTCTGTAAGTCTGGTTTCTGTAAGAATTTGAAATTCTGTTTACCATTTTTCCTCTTTTTGATCAAGGATCCATCTACTGGCTCCTTGATCAAAACATTCAGTAACGGTAGCTGGGCACCCTCCCACTCTTCTGGTCTCATAGCAAAGGAGGTAGTTGTTCATGGAGGCAGTTAGACCTACAGTCCATTTCCTTCTTCATTTCTTGAGCTGGAAATTTACTTTTTGAAGATTAATTCCCCTCATCATACCCCAAAATCATATCCTTCAGGAATCATTATGAAGCAGAAAAATTAAAAGGCCTTAATGATGATATAAACATGCACTGCTCATCAAACACCACTAAAATTTAGTAGGGCAAGGTAAGAATAATACTACTGACCTGATGTTTTTGTCCCATAGGGCAAATCAAACTTATCATTACCATACAAGGAAGCAATCTTTTTAAAGTCGGATGCACACAGAAAAGGGTGAAACTGATGATATCTGGAAAGAAAGAATAAAGAATTACTTGCCAAGTGCCTACAATATGTTCAGGCTTCTAAAATCACAACTGAAAGTAACTGCAGCATACATTCACACTGTTATACTGACCATATATGAATCTATATATTTTTTTAATTCTTTAGAAATTGTTCTAAACAGTATTTAAATACGAAATAGAACGGGATATGGAATGGAACTGTACAACCAGAATGGAAACACTTCCAGGTACTGGAACTGAAACTATGTTACAGCTTGGGGGTAAAAACAAAAATCAAATTTAAAAACAAAAAAACCCCAGATGATAAAATGATAGCCATATACAGGAAGAAATAAAGGAAGTAATAAGGGAAAATAAAATTTGATGTTAAGCCACTCCCTAATTAAAAAGTACATGTATGAAATTATATCAGCTGTAGAAACAAAAAATACATTAAAGGTTAGATGCAGGTAGAACTAAATTATTTTGTTAGATTAAGATATTCTGAAGAGATTTACTGGATCCATTGAGATTGGGGGAACCCCTAATCCAATGCCCAGAAATAATCTTTAAACCTTGAACCAATAGTTTAACAAAGCCATCGTTAAACTGAACAACAGAATGTTTGCCTTGAGCATAGCGCTGTTACAAAGAATTATCTATATGTGTAAACTGACAACCAAACCCAAAACCTGCTGCTGTCAAGTCAATTTCAACTCATAGCAACAGTATACGACAGAGTAGAACTGCCCCAGAGGGTTTCCAAGGCTGTAATCCTTATGGAAGCCAACTGCCACATCTCTGTCCTGCGGAGCGGCTGGTGGGTTTGAACTGCCAACCTTTTGGTTAGCAGCCAAGCGTTTTATCACTGCGCCACCAGGGCTCCTTTGGTTGTGTATACTGCCACCAAAACAACAAAAAAAAAGATATACTGAAGAACAAGAACTACACTGCAGGCCTTTATCTTTTTACTGCCTGCTCTGTCCTACCCTCAGCCCTGGACAATACAGGAAGCTTGATAATGGCAGGAACAGCCCTGTGTTTCCTCACTTCTAGCATGTGACACAGAGCAGGCAGTCCATACATGTTTAACAAATGATTGAATGTATTTTAACTTCAAATCTCTATGAGGCCATTGTGAAGTTAAAAATAAATAAATAAATAAGGCCTTTGTTTTTTTTTTTTTAAATTAAAGAGAAGGAATGGGCCTTAAAGCTCATATTAAAATGCTATTTTCACCCATCCAAAAAACTGCTTGCTGTCCACATGCTGCCAGGCAAATTGAGCTAATCTCTACTACAGCCCCAAATGTGGCCCACCCTTTCTGCCTCTGAGGGAGAGCCACATCAGCTTTGCACTTCCTTTGCCTAAAAGCTGCAGTGAACCCAGAGTGCCCCTGGGGGTTTCTGAGGCTGCGTGGCAAAATGGAAATAAAAAGCAGCAGAATAGGGGTGAAATAGCTGCAGCGCTGGCCTGGCTTTGCCCCTCAGGAGCCACGTGTGCTTGGGCAAGTCATAGTTGCTTAATGTCTCCAGAGCTGAGTTGAGAACTCACATCTCCTTCTGATTAAGGAAAGGAATTGAGAGCCTGGACCTGCCTGCCTGAGATATGACGTGTGCCCCAGTTTCAGCTGTGACAGTGACAGCAGCTTCAGGGTTCCAGTCAACCTCCAAGGGTCATTTCTAGATCACAGTTGATTCCTAAGTCCATTGGGAAGAGAAAGTAGCAGGTCAGCTGACTTAAGAACACTTAAGATCTTCCTGGTCTCCCCTGGGAAGTCTGAACCATGACGGACTTTGCACCCCAAGGGCAAGGCAATAAAAGGCTCTACTGTTTGGAGTTGGCAGGGGTAAAAATGACAGTGATTAATACTTCGATTAATACCTATTGCCAGTCAGACCTTGTGCTAGGTGACTTACATTTTAGTTCTAAGTGAAATAATTATTTAAAATTTTGCACAATGCCTTACATATAGTAGGCGCTCAATAAGTACCAGTTCCTGTCTGTAATAATTATTATATTACATTGTATTACATTATGTTACTTCACATTACATTGCATTGCATTTCTGCTTGTTGCTACTTGTAGAGAAGCCTGGAAAAGTAAGTGAGGTGTATTCCTCAATTTAGATGAAGAAACTGAGGCTATAAGAATGAAGTAACTGGTATAGGGTCACCAACCCATAAGTGACAAAGCTGAAATCCATGATGCCTGACTCTAAAGCAGGTGTTCTCTTTACAATACTACAGGTAGCACCTCCAGTGTTGCAAAGTGACCTTTTCCTGACTGCTACTGTCTCTCCTGTATTTCTGAGCAAGTGACTTCAGCATAAAAACCTTAACCCTTTTGGGTTTTCTAGAAAGCCAATATTTCTTTTGCTAAAGTTGAATAGGACCTTAATTCAACTTGCAGAATAGAATTTTAAACCTGCAGTCTGCAACTCATAGATGCCTCATAAAATCAGTTTTTTGAGTTATGCTCAGCACACTTTAAAAAAGTGAATAGAACAGAAAATGATGCATCTGGAATAGTCGGTAAAAATTATTTTTTTTCTTACTATAAATATGCATGTGTACTAGGTCCCAATGTAAGATGTGTTTCTTAGTATGGGTCATATGGTCAAAAAAGTTGAAAAACACTCTTCTGGTTTTGCAAGTGTTCTTAACACATACCCACGGACAGGCTACAAGTGGCCGTGAAACACCTGTAAGCATATGTAAAAATGTTTTATGTATCTGCAGTTTTCCAGAGAGTGGACTGTTTTTTTTTTTAATTGTACTTTAGATGCAAGTTTACAGAACAAAGTAGCTTCTCATTAAACAGTTAGCACACATACTGTTTTAAGACATTGGTTAACAACCCCACGACATGTGAACACTCTCCCTTCTCGACCTTGGGTTCCCTATTACCAGCTTTCCTGTCCCCTCCTGCCTTCTAATCCTTGCCCCTGGGCTGGTGTGCCCCTTTAGTCTCATTATGGGCCTGTCTAATCTTTGGATGGGGGGTGAACCTCAGGAGTGACTTCATTACAGAGCTAAAAGGGTGTTCTGGGGCCATACTCTCAGGGTTTCTCCAGTTTCTGTCAGGCCAGTAATTCTGGATTTTTTTCGTAAGTTAGAATTCTGTTCTACATTTTTCTCCAGCTCTGTCCAGGACCCTCTACTGTGATCCCTGTCAGAGCAGTCAGTGGTGGTAGCCTGGCACCATCTAGTTATGCTGGACTGAGTCTGGTGGAAGCCGTGGTAGTTGTGGTCCATTAGTCCTTTGGACTAATCTTTCCCTTGTATCTTTAGTTTCCTTCATTCTCCCTTGCTCCCGAACCGGTGAGACCAGTGGAGTATCTTAGATGGCTGCTCACAGGTTTTTAAGACCCCAGACGCTACTCACCAAAGTAGAATGTAGAACATTTTCTTTATAAACTACGTTATGCCAAATGAGCTAGTTGTTCCCTGAGACCATGGTCCCCCCTGCCCTCAGGAGAGTGAACTGATTTTAAAGGAATCTGTAACTCCAAAACATTAAGAACTCATAATAGAATGGTGCAATAACTTAATAGAAGAAAACAAACAGAAAACAAAATATGAGTTCTTGATCCTTAATGGATAAAATACTGAAAAGCTTGTGCCTGTTTTTTACAATTAAACATGCCTAGACCAGACCCTCATTTATTTCTATTTATCCAGAAGCACCTTGACAAAGTCAAAGGGTTGAGGTGACAAGAGGAAAATGACATTTGTAAATGGAAGAGTAAAGTCTCTACAAGTCCTGACAACCATAATGAACAATGAAAGTACCTTTGGGCAGGCTAATCATTACTTGCATTCTATGCATTTCAGTGAAAGTCGGGGAAAATTTCTAACCCTAGTGTTTAACTTAGAGTCAAGGAAGAAGAAGCTACAAAATTAAAGGGCAAAAAATAACACGAGAACAAAAACTCCAAAGAACAGTTTCCTTTTTACGATCAGACACAAATAGACTTCTCGAATTTCACCTGTGTGAAAAGAATACTGGTTTGATTGAGTTCTTCAAAGCCTTTTCTTAAAATATATGCAGGGCTCCGACTAAAAGCACAAAAAGGGACAGGATAGTCAAGTTCTTCCTTAGACACAGACGACTGTCTACTTTATGCTGCTAAGATTTCTAAGAAAAAGGTAAACAAGTGTGGAAAATGGTTGCAAGATAAATTTTGAACATTTTAGACATCACAGTTTCTTTTATATGTGTGTGTATATATATGTATATATACATAATTTTACCTCAAGAGAGAGGCAAAAGCTGGCTTTGATAAACAAGGCTGGATCTTATTTCTCCGTTTCATTTCCACAGGTGGCACCCTATGAGACAAAAATGGTGTCAGTCAGAAACCAGAATTGGGTAGTACAACTGAAGGGAAGCAAATGCCCTGACAACTGACTCCGCCTCCAGTGAGAGGCTTCACAGTCAGGGAATAAAAATCTCTGTCAGCCCCTGAAGTTTCACAGTACTTGTCCAAATCCTGCACACACTTTAGGTTTTATGGGTGTAAGACAAGGGAACATGGAAAAGGCTGAGGTGACTAGTAACCCAGAAGTGATTCGAAGAACAGTGAGGAGAACCCTCTGAGAATGGCTAGGATTACTGTATTTTGGAAGCCATAACCAGGCTCGCTTTTTAGAAGCCCCCACTCACCCCAAGAGCTTACGGATATCTAGGTCCTCCGTGCCACATCTGGTGACATCTGCCAGCAGCAAATACCTCAGAAACACCTGATTACTGCCTTGTGATCCTGGGGAACTCCACAAATCACTCTATGTAGAGTCGTGTCTAACTATCCTCTATTCTTGGCACAGGTCAGGCTCTTGTCTGTCTCCTAAATAGAATACTTGTCTCCACAATTTAAAAGGGTATTGTGAAACAGGACAGAAAACAACAAAAATAAATGAAGGGAGGGTGACCCAGACTCAGTCGGAAAGAGGAAAACGGCTTAATATAAGAGTTCATTAATGATCATCAATTATGGGAAGAAATAAAATAAAAAGAGGATTGATCAATATTCAAGGTTAAAACTGAAAGAGAAAGCCTAAACCCTTTATGGTTAGAGACAATTTTCAAATTTTTCTGGTAGAAAATCTCCATAGTTAGAACTGCTAGGTTTCTGGGCTGTGGGGCTAGTGAAGTCCTTATACAGAAAAGCATCCTTTGTGAATACCACAAATGGCAAGGACCCCTTGGTTCATATGTAAGAAAGGTACACAAACATAGTACACCAGCTCATCAGGCCATTAAAAACCGAATTATATCCAGAGAACAAAATGAAGCAGATTACTATATTGGGATATTGTAAAGACAAACTTTTAAGTTGCTTTAAAAAAGAAGAAAATTATTTATCTCAAATAGTTTTTAGGGATGCAAGTCCATGTCACAAACACCCATCTGAGGTAATTTCCCATGGCACTTTCCGTGATTGGAGTAATGTATTAGCTTAGGAACAACATGAAAATTCCTTATATCTTGAGGACAAAAGACTGTGCTAAATTCAGACCATTTTCACTGTCTTCTTTATCATTCCCACTGTGACCAACAATAGAATTTGTAAGAAACAACAATCTAGTAAGCTTCTTGCTTTCTTTTCTATTCTTGTCCTCCATGACTAAGTGTGGGATGGAGACAAGATATGGCAGATGTGAAAGATTATACCATATGGTATAATCCTCACTTAGTGTATAATCAGGGTGCGATGTTCTTTACCCCGATATTTGGGTCCAAAGCCTAAAAACTTTGGGTCAAGCCCACCTACCTTGTAGTCTATTTTGACTCATAGTGACCCCATGTGACAAAGCAGAACTGCCCCATAGGGTTTTCTAACCTGTAATCTTTGTGGGAGCAGATAGCCAGGTCTTTCTCCCGCAGAGCCACTAGATGAGTTCGAACAGCCAACCTTTCATTTCGTTGAATGTTGGGGTTTTTTTCCAGTGGCTATTTGCCTAACTGCCTTCCATGTCAAGCATTATAATTATTTTTCAACCACCCAATGATGCAATTAAATGCAGAAACATCAATTTAATTTCTATTTTCTAAGCACAAGCTAGAAACATGATCTAGGATCTACTACTGAATCACTGGCCAAAAAAAAACCAAGTCTTTATCTAAGACAGGAAGTTGCTGTGTGATTCATTTTGATATATTTATGCACTATCACATGTTTAACATTTAAAGGTCATCAAAACTTTATTCTTGGCCAAAGGACTGACAATGGGGAGAAAGGTTAGGAAACTTCTTAGGGATTTTCACCGCAGTAAAACTATGTGCCTCTTGAGAGTTTTATATATGACGTTTGAAATCAAGTGGTTTCAAAAAATACATGTGTATTTCATCATTTAGCAAACATTTTTAAACAAAGGAAACCATAAGTAGTGTCTATATTTTATATATTATTTTAGAATTTGGGGCTCTAAAAGTAAAGTGCCACTAAGCCCAAGAATTGCTCCATTAATTTAAGGAAATGAAATACCATATAAATAATGTTACGTACTCAAGATGGTCAACATCACCAGTTCATTGGAGAATTAGTAAAAGAAGGGTGTTGTTTATTACTTTTTAAACTGTTAGAGATACAATCTTCAGGATACTGGAATAGTAAAACCTCAGTGTATAATGGAAAGCCAGAAAAGGTAAAATGTTACAACCTTACAGTATTTTTTAGAGGTCCCTCTAATATCGTATTTTATGGATATGAAAGATGAGTTTGGGAGTTATTTTTAAATAACAAAACAAAACTTACCAATAGACATTTGTTCCCCATAAGATACAATGCAGCACATAGTAGAGGAAGATAGCACTCAGGAATATGGCCACAAGGTACCCTCTCATGGCTGGCCCACCTGAAACATAAGAATGAAGTGATACACAGATTTAGTTCAAAAGAAAGGCAAGACCGATGCACAGATGAATTGTACACAATGGCTCAAATCCAAGCATTAGTGTGTAAACACGCAGAGAAGAAACACTGGAAGAAAATGATGCAGGCTTATAATTCTGGAAATACCCACTAGAAGTACAGAGAGAGAATGCTTTCCCTATTTCTATTCTCTTATCTTTTAATCAACACAACAGGGTACAAGTTTAGAGCAATGAACAGTTTCATGGTTTCAAAGCCAGTGACTACTTTCCCACATTAGGAAGAAAGAAAAGAATTTTTTTTTTTTTTTTTAACACATCTACTCCATATCCAAAACTTCTTGGGGAGGACTTTAAGAATATCTATTTTCTCTCTCTCTCTCTCAACAGAGAGCAAATATATGCAGTAAGATATGAATAAACATGTCATTTTCTTCTGTCCTTGAAAGGACTTTCAAATGCTATACATCATATTTTTTATGAGTTCTTTTTCTAATTTTGAAAAGCTGAGGAAAAAGCTATTGAAAGATATTTCCCATATCCTCAATTTTTATACACTTTTTAATGTACCTATTTGATTTTTCAGCATCAAACAAAGCCTAGGTAAATTCAGCTAATTATCTGCATGTTTTTGTATTACATTGATAGTAACAGTTCATTGCACATTTGCATATAGACAAAAACCTGGGCATAGTCCTCCCCAGGAAACAAATGCAAAAATCAACCAAAACATATGTAGCTTCCACTTTGGCTTCATAGACAAAAATGAAAATGTGCCCATTTTTACATGTAATTAAAGTGTAAGACAAATTTAATACATTGTATGCTTCCACAATAGATCTGCTATTTCAAAGCATGTGACTTTAAACAGGTATACTATGTCTTTGCTTCTCTTATCAAGTATCTGGTCCATCTGAACAATTGTAGGTACCACACCTCTCCTATTCCTATCTACTAACTCCATTCAGAGGCACTCAGCATTCAGTAGGCAACTAGTTGGATACATTTCCAAATAATGTTATGTTGTAGTTGTTGTTAGCTGTCCTTGAGTCTGTCCCGTGATCCCCACCCCGACTCATGGCAACCTCACGCACAATAGAACGAAATGCTGCCCGGTTCAACCCCATTCCCGTGACTGGTTGTAAACCACTGTGATCCATATGGTTTTCACTGACTGATTTTCAGAAGTAGATTTCCAGGCCTTTCTTCCTAGTCTGCCTTAGTCTGGAAATTCTACTGAAACCTGTTCAGCATCATAGCAACAGGCAAGCCTCCACTGGCAGATGAGTGGTGGTTATGCATGAAGTTTGCTGGCTAGAAATCAAACCTGGTTCTCCTGCATGGAAGGCGAGAATCCTACCACTGAACCACCAATATCCTCATCATTGCTGCCCTTTTAATGGTAGAATAAGTTCTAAACATAATTTAAGTGCTGATGATGCAGGGTCATGTTAATAAATGCCATTATGGTGCTAGGCTCTACTAGAGTGAGGCCCTCAGAAGCTAATGAGTGTGTGGGTATGTTTATTAAGTGATTCTAAACTCTAGTGAGTATCTATTGACATAGCTGGATTCTACTCCCTTGCTAAGGAGCCCTGGTGATGCAGTGGTTAAGAGCTCGGCTGCTAACGAAAAAGGTCAGCAGTTTGAACCCACCAGCCACTCTGTGGGAGAAAGATGTGGCAGTCTGCTCCTGTAAAGATTTACAGCCTTGGAAACGCTACAGGGCAATTCTACTGTGTCCTGTAGGTTTACTATGAGTCAGAATTGACTCGATGGCAATGGGTTTTCTGGACTCGTTTGCTGTCAGCTGTGAAAGCAATCTCACTGCTCTGAAAGCAGTCACCACCCCCTCAAGCCACCATTATAAATTAGTTAGAAACAAAGCCTACATCATTAGAAAGAAAATAAACAAGCGAGTTAAATGAGCAAACGTCAGTTTACACATACTTCTAATTTGTATACAGAATCCCTGTGAAGTGCCAACACTGGTCAGAAGCCAGAAGACAAGATTCATAGCTCAACTCCATTTAATTCCTGCCTTGGGGGATCTTGGGCAAATCAGTGGACCTCTTTTGGCCTGAGTGTCCTTTTGGGTTTAAAGGTGAGTGCACACAACCTACTTCATTGGGTGTTAGAAGGATAAACTGAAATGACGGGAGCCTGGCACAGCATGTGGCACAAAATATGGGCTGAATAAGCTTGTATATTTTATTTTCTGTTATTATATATTTTGTTGTTTTTTTTAAACCTAAAGCCAGCTGCACTCTTTACTACACAGTAAAATGCATGGGTTTTGAGAACACCAAAGTCAGGCATCAAAAAACAAAAACAAGCAGGAGTGGCAATTCTAATCTCAGATAAAATAGACTTTAAAACAAAATCTACCATAAAAGACAAAGAAGGACACTATATAA